GCTTACAGCACATGCAGCAATGGTGGGGAGGGGAAGACAGGGAAGCTATGAAGGCTGCCTCAGCAAATACAGTAGAACCTCAGTTACGAACACCAGAGTTACAAACCAGAACTGGAAGTACACAATCAGGCAGCAGCAGAGACCAAAAAAAAGGAAAAAAGGTGAATATAGTACAGTACCGTGTTAAACGTAAACTACTAAAAAAATAAAGGGACAGCAGCATTTTTCTTCTGCACAGCAAAGTTTCAAAGCTGTATTAAGTTAATGTTCAGTTGTAAACTTTTGAAAGAACCAAAATGTTTTGTTCAGAGTTAGGAACATTTCAGAGTTACGCACAACCTCCATTCCCGAGGTGTTTGTAACTTAGGGGTTCTACTGAACAGCAACAAGAACTGACTTTAGAGCACCATGACAGGCCTGTGACATTCTGTACCTCATGGGAACACCCATGTTCATCCTTATAAAATGATTTTGTGGTATCCAATGCAAAGTTTGTCATGTCGGATGTCTTCAGAAGGCTCATGATGCACTGCGCATTGTTGTTATCGTAATTGTTGTTACAGTAATGTTACAGGTTATAATTTCATGTATATAGTAATGAAGCAGACAATGTGTCCTCATGGCTTAAAGCAAGCCCAGACAAAAACTCTCTAAGAGCAGAGGGGCAGCTCACACCTCATCAAGGCATGTATGGGTGAAACCCAGCCCAGCCTCACCGGAACAAAGGACGCTGGCCTAGGCATCAACAAAGGATCTCTTGGACTATCGAGTGAGTCACTCTCCTTCCTTTGGTCAGTTTGGGACTGCGATGAGGTAATGCTCACCTGACTGTGAAGGGAGGGGGGGCAAAGCCAAGAGGGAAGAATGAACATGATAAAAGGGAGAGACGTTTGCCATGCTCTTCCTCTCTCTTCCACCTCCATCTACAGACACCACCACCAAGCGACTGAAGCGCTGATCAAAGGGGAGGGCAGTCATCCAGCCTGTGGTGAGAAGCATCTAAGTTTGTCAGGGCACTAGAAGTGTTAAGATCTGCTTAGAATGCATTTTGCTTTTATTTCATTCAACCAAATCTGACTTCTTGTGCTTTGACTTATAATCACTTAAAATCTATCTTTGTCGTTAATAAATCTGTTTGTTTATTCTACCTGAAGCAGTGCGTTTGGTTTGAAGCGTGTCAGAGACTCCTCTTGGGATAACAAGCCTGGTACATATAAATTTCTTTGTTAAATTGATGAACTCATATAAGCTTGCAGCGTCCAGCAGGCATGACCAGACACTGCAAGACGGAGGTTTCTAGGGTTGTGTCTGGGAACAGAGATATTGGCTAGTGTCATTCGGTTGCACAATCCAAGCAGCAGCTGGCCAAAAGTGCTCACTCACATAGCTGGGAGCAGCTTACATGCTAGAGACTGTGTGTGAACAGCCCAGGAGTGGGGGTTCTCACAGCAGAGCAGGGTAAGGCTGGCTCCCAGAGTCAAGGATTGGAGTGACCTAGCAGATCTCCAGTCCAGATAACACCAGGGGAACGTCACAAGGCCCCAGCCTCCTGTTGCATTATCAATACCAAAGCAGCAGCAAGATGCCTTCTGAAGCAGAAGGTTCTTTGCCAGACCCACTGTTCTGGTCTAACCATGGCAGAATCCAGACTGTTCTCCCAAGGGAGAGTGGGAGTCCCGTCCCTTGAATCATTTCTCTCTGAGGGGGCACACAGCTCCCAAAGTGGCCTAGAGCCTAGGTGGTGTGGCAGGGTTATTATTATTTACATGGCACCTGAAAAGGTGCTGGGCGTTTTACAGACCCTGACCCAAGCAGCCCACAGTGGCATGCTGGGAACACCTACCCCACACATTCATCAGCTACAGAAGAGCTATAAAGAGCCCATATTTATTATTCACATAGCGCTCTCCCCCATCTTCAGTCAGTTAAAAAACAACAACCACCACCAACAACAATAAAATGGTCGTGACCTGAAGCCCCAAATGCCCAGCTTCCTCGTCCTGCCATCCAATGTCTCCCCACTTGCATACTATGTACTTCACTCCTCCATCCACTGCCCCCGCGTGCTCCCTGGCTTCCCCCCCCCATCCGTCCATACCATCCCGCTTCACATCTGCGGATGTGCGCTGCTGCAGGGCCTCAGAAGCTCGGCAGGCGGCTTTCATGATGGCCAGTTTCCCCCGTGGCCGGCCTGGAACGAAGACTTCCACCTCCACCTGCACCTCCTCCAGCTCCAGCGCCTGGCCCCGCTTCCTACCGCGCTTGTCCCGTTTATGCGGCTGCCTAGGAAAGGCACCCTGGAGCACGCTCTCCATCAGCTTCCGGGCCTCTGTCTCCTCTTCCTTCTTGGGCTGCACGATGACTCCCACCAGGGCAGCTGGGGCTCTGCGGCTAAACTTCTTCACTTCCTTCAAGATCTTCTGGATCTCGGCCTGCTTGCCCCGCAGGGAGGCAGCTCGGCACAGGAAGAAGATGAGTTGGGATTGACTGTTGCTAGCGCCAGGCTTGGCCTCTGACTGTGTCTGTGCCGCAGCCATTGCTGGACTGACTCCTGGTTTGCAGGCATCCGGGAACAACTCTTGGACAAAAGCTGCCATCAGAGCCCGAGTGTCTTTTCCCTCCTGAGACTCTCCAACCAGCAGCACCTCTGGCTTCCCCCCAACCTTCTCTATCAGAACCTGGAAATCCTTTAGGATCTGCTCGCCAGTGGCAGCAGCAGGGGGGTTCTCTGACATCTGCACCTCACTGTCCATGTCCTGTTCGCATGAACTCTCCTGCCCTCTGCTTGCCTAATACTGAAGGAATCACAAATTACACTTTCTTGCTATGTCACAATACACCACCTTGCCTCACCTCACCCTGGTGCACAGCCCCCCTCCATGGCCTAGAGCTGGGACACAGCCCATTATATTGTAAGGGATTATACATATGTTCAGTGGAGGTTTCAGTGCTCAGCTGTAATATAAATACACCAACAACTGGCAAGCATATGTAACATGCTTAAAAAGCACATATGGTTAAAAAGCCACTGCCAACTAGACAGAAGGCGGCCCTGCTTCACATCTATGCGGTCAACAAAGGAGTCTAAATTCCTCTGGTGCCAACATGCTTTTCCTACCAACCCCTTTAAACTGTGTGCAAATTAACTACAGCCAAATCTGGGATGTCTGATTTACCCCAGTCACAGTCCCGCTCAGTAAGAATGAGAGTTGGTCACAATAGTGGTAAACCCCAATATAAAAGGTCTTGTGGGAAAATTAGAAATAAAACTCAATAAAATTAGGGGGCTGCAAAGAGACGTTTCAGTTTCATCGTGAATTTCGGGCACAGGACTACATAATAATTTTGAATAATATATATATTTGGAGTCTGGAAAAATCAAGGCTTGCCTGTAGTCTAGCAATCAAGCTTTTGATAGTATTCCTATGACCTCGCTCCAACCTTACTAGCTGAGTGACCTCTAATGTCACAATCTCAGACTCCCCATCGCTATCTTGAAATCAAACCAAACACTGCCTGAAAGACCATGAACGAAGAGCAATGATAAAAGGGACAGTATTCCGTTAGGAGTTGGGGTTTATGGCGGTGCCAGAGGCTTGGGTGTTTAACTTCTTCATTAATGACATGGGGAAAGGGGCAGAGCATAATAAATGGGGAGCTGGTAGGCCAGGACCACGTCCCAGTGGTGACATTCCTACACAAAGGACACAGCTCGAGTAAACAGGCTCTTGCTCTGCCATATTCTCATGGGTCCGAGGAACAGAATCCTTACATCCCAGTTCACAGCAGCCAGAACACATCTCCTGAGTAGTCACTACATCAGGGTATGGGGCAGGAGGAGAAGCCAAGGACCTGCTTCCCCTCGTAGGCCAATAGATACATGCCATCCATGGACCCACTGGCCACATCCTTCTCCTCTACCCATCACACTCCCTCAGGGTTTGTCATCACTAGGAAGCGTCACTCGGTTCACACACCATTGTAGCAATCGAACTAGGTAAAATGCTGAGCATGGCAGTGGGCAGCACAGACAAGGAGGCCAAGTTGTGTTCAGCAGCTTGTCAGGTGGTGGGGGGTTAGTTAACCTAGCTCTTCGTGGCGTACAGCCACGACAAGATGACAGGATACTGAACAACCTGTTCTAGTCTACACTGATCACTCAGCATCACGTCAGCTACCTTGGCGCTTCAGACTCAAGCTGAAATACGATTCGATTACCCAATGAAAACCGGCCCTTGTTCGAGGAATCGCAGCATCCCAGAGATTCAGCCTGGCTGAGCTCTTGGCTGCTACACGGTGGGGAAAGAAACAAACAGCAGATCCTGCCAGGCAGCCCTACTGAGAGACTACGGGGTGCCAGCAGAGAGCAGTGATGGGGTAGTAAGTCCAGTGGGATTTTCAGTTCCGTGTCCAGGTTCCACTGGCACAAGTCTCGAGCACGTCCCTCAGCCCGGGATCACAGTCACTCTTTGTCGCTAGGAGACAGAGGTCTTGGGGGACTCAGTGCTTTCTCTGAAGATGAAATTGGCTACAGTGACAATCCTCCGCCCTCCCCAGCACCTTCCACCTAAGGGCATGTCTACACTTCCGCTGCTACCGGGCCACAACTGCCACGCTGCAGCTGGGCCACCGGGGCACCAGAGCGTAGATGCTTCCTACGCCCCCTAAAGGCCTCTTCCGTGGATGTCGATAATCCATCTCTCTGAGGCAGTAGGGAGGTCCATGGGTGAACTCTTCCCTCCACCCAGCCCTGTCTACACTGGGGTGGGGTTGACCCCAGGACGGCGCTCAGGGCATCTCATTTTTCACAGCCCTGAGCAACACACGGCCACGCCGGTCTAGTTTCTATGTGTAGAGCTGGCCTGAGAGCGCCTCCCAAAGGGGCCCCAGAGCCGGGCTCGGCGGCACGGCCAGGGAGAGGCCGCCAGCTCCGCGCCCCATGTCCCCGCCCCGCCCGCCCGGCAGCCCCCGAGCCCCCGCCGGCCGAGCTCCCGCCGCACCTGGCTCTTCCCTCAGGGCCTCGCAAGCGGCTTTCTTGACCTCCAGGGCCCCCTCGGGCCGGCCGGGGCGGAACACGGCCGTGTGCACCTCGACCCGCGGCGCGGCGCCCGGCCCCGACGCCGGCGGCTGGAAGACCTCGAGGAGCAGCTCCTCCAGGCGGCGCCGCGCCTCCGCCTCCTCCTCCGGCCGGGGCTGCACGATCACCCCGACCAGGGCGGCGGGCGCGCCGCGGCTCTGCTCCCGCACGCCCCGCAGCACCTCCCGCAGCCGCTCGGCCCGGCCCCGCAGCGACGGGGCGCGGCACAGGAAGAAGACGAGCTGCCCGGCCGGCGGCGCGCTGGGCGGCGCGGGGCTGGCGGAGCGGCGGGCCACGGGCAGCACCTCGTGGGCGAAGGAGCTGAGCGCGGCCCGGGCGCGGTCCGCCTCCCACGTCTCGCCGGCCAGCAGCAGCACCTGCGTCCGCTGCACCACGGCCTGGAACTGCGCGTCCGGGCTCTCCCCGGGCTCGGCGGCGCCCGCCGGCCCCGACTGCTCCTGCCGCTCCATGGCCGCCCGCCGCTGGGCCGGGGCCGCGGGGCCACGAGCTGCGCCCCCGGCCGTGTCACAATCGCACCCGGGAGGGGCGCGGCCGCTTGCCAAGGGCTCAGACTCTTCCCCTGGGGCCCCTCCATTCCCCGGGTGAAGAACACGGTCCCATTCTAACAGACAGCCCCTCTCCTACAACCCCCTGTCCCCCCTCGACAGGTCATATTCCCCTGGCCAGTTACCGGCCCTTGGATCCCGCGGGATGGCCGGGAGCCCAGTGACTAGCCAGTTGGTGCTGCTAGGGAGCAACGTAGGACAGGTCCCTCCCCATGTCGTCAGCGAGGGATCCCCAACTCATCACTAGGGCAGCTCCCTTTACAGTCCCTACCCTAGCTGTGATTTAACACCAGTCCCCTGTCCTACGGGCTCCGGCCTGTACAGCTTCGCAAGAGAAGACACATTTGGGCAAGAGGCTGTGACAAGATTATTAAATGTGTTAAAAAGGAAAACTTTCCCCCCTAGAGATTTTCTGTCGCACTGGAGCCTAAGCGCTGCAGAAAACTAACGTGGACAAAAACCCCAAAGAAACCGGGGATTTTCCTCTCTCCAGCTGGTGCTAGGACAAAGGTGCTGCAGCTTTACCCCTTAGCTTAGGCTCAGTCTGATCTCTTTGGAGAATGAGCTCCTGCCACTGAGAATACTTTGTTCCCCAAGCCTGACCTCGGGAAGCACAGCTGTCCTGGGGCGTTGTGACCTAATCAAGCCCCAGTTCACTGGGAGCAGCAGCTGAGCTCTGCTCTGAAATGAACTGGGACTGGAGTCCAACCCAGTGTCCACCTCAGCCTTTATTGCTAATGCTATAAGCAGCCTTGTTGGACAGGTAGGTGAGCTACAATACTGCCGGTTTTACCACAGAGCCCAAGAGCCCTAGTCAAGGAGCAGCCCCCCCCATGCTAGGCCTGGTGCAAACACAGCAAAAGAGCAGCTAAATCGGGGTTCTCAGCCTTTTCCTTACTGAGCCCCCCCCCCCCGCTATAAAAACTCCCCAGCCCAGCTGTGCCACACCCTGTTTTTCTGCATATAAAAGCCAGGACCGGCGTTAAAGGGTAGCAAGCAGGGCAGTTGCCCAGAGCCTCATGACACAGGGGCCACCGCAAAGCTAAGTTGTTCAGGCTTCAGCTTCAACCTTCGATGGATGGGCTCAGGGCCATGGGCTGCAGTCCTGCACCGTGGGGCTTTGGCTTTCTGCCCTGGGCCCTAGCAAGTCTAATGCCAGCCACGCTTGGCAGCCCCCTGGTTGAGATCCACTGAGCTAAATCATCCTGTGAAAGGATTGGGTGAAGCCCCTCGGCCAGGCGAAAATTATCTGTTCCCCTCTGCTGCAGCAATCTGCTTATCCAGGAAGGGGGGGCTTAGACTAGCAAGACTCCAAGGTTTTGCACCACCTTTACCATCTGTGGTCTGATGCCCTCAGTCATTGCCAATTTCCTCAAAATGTTTCCACTTTTCTACTATCAGCACCACTTCTGCCTTTCCCAGATTGAGCTGGCCACTGTGTTTTATCCATCAGCTGTTTTCTTCCCAGCACTGGGATAGCCTGCATTGGTGTAGACTGTATCAGCAGAGAAGAGGTGTCAATCTCCAGTCTCTTATGTGGATCTTGGCTAGGATGGGAGAGAGCACTGAGTCACGTGGGACTCCCTGTGGTCAGGGTTTTGGTGGTAGGGAATGTGGGCCCCCTCAGTATCAATGCCTGCAGTGGAGTCTAGCAGAATCAGCTGAGAAGTAGGTTTGCTGTCAGTAGCCAGAAGAAGGTTTTCCATCAGCGAGGCCAGTTGTGTGCTGTGTCCTGGCCTGAAACATGGTGATGAGTCTAGAATGTTGGCAGAGAACACCATGGCCCCAGTAACCATGGAGAAAGTGGTCTTTAGACCTGGAGCAGTAATTGGAAAGATCTTTGATGCGTGTAGGCTTCTAGGACTGCATTCTTGGTATCTGGTAACTCCTTTGATGGACATGGATCTCAATTATGAAGAAGACCAGCCAGGTGTCCTTTGCCAGACTTCGCCAGACATTCCTTCTTCAGAGTCTCCACAGACTCTGAATGGGTAACTGGCCCAAACACCACCGGAAAAGTCTTGGGCAACTTAAATACAAGGGGGTTGCTGCTCTTCCAACATTACATACATGTAATTCAACACACAGAGGTGCCTGTGTCTGCAGTTATCTTGAGACCACGACACACATTCATCAACCAGGAGACACAGACTTAGCTTCATTTATCCCTACACACTCACCTGCAGCCCACACCTCCGAAAGGGCATCCGCCTGTTCTCGGCCGCCCCAGTCCGGCCTGCGGTGCAGACTCTACCCTGGGCAGTGGGGGAAAAACCCTTCCAGCAGGAGGCAGAGCGGCTCGGGGGCTGCCGCCGGCAGAAGGCACCAATAACCCCTGCGAGCCTGCAGCAGCTCCGAGCTATTGGGAGCCGGCCTGGCCGGGCAAGAGCTCGCTGCCCTGGGCTCGCCCGCCGGAGGCAGCGCGGTCGGAGCCACCCTACAGACTGGGGCCGCGCCCCTCCCGGGTGCGATTGTGACACGGCCGGGGGCGCAGCTCGTGGCCCCGCGGCCCCGGCCCAGCGGCGGGCGGCCATGGAGCGGCAGGAGCAGTCGGGGCCGGCGGGCGCCGCCGAGCCCGGGGAGAGCCCGGACGCGCAGTTCCAGGCCGTGGTGCAGCGGACGCAGGTGCTGCTGCTGGCCGGCGAGACGTGGGAGGCGGACCGCGCCCGGGCCGCGCTCAGCTCCTTCGCCCACGAGGTGCTGCCCGTGGCCCGCCGCTCCGCCAGCCCCGCGCCGCCCAGCGCGCCGCCGGCCGGGCAGCTCGTCTTCTTCCTGTGCCGCGCCCCGTCGCTGCGGGGCCGGGCCGAGCGGCTGCGGGAGGTGCTGCGGGGCGTGCGGGAGCAGAGCCGCGGCGCGCCCGCCGCCCTGGTCGGGGTGATCGTGCAGCCCCGGCCGGAGGAGGAGGCGGAGGCGCGGCGCCGCCTGGAGGAGCTGCTCCTCGAGGTCTTCCAGCCGCCGGCGTCGGGGCCGGGCGCCGCGCCGCGGGTCGAGGTGCACACGGCCGTGTTCCGCCCCGGCCGGCCCGAGGGGGCCCTGGAGGTCAAGAAAGCCGCTTGCGAGGCCCTGAGGGAAGAGCCAGGTGCGGCGGGAGCTCGGCCGGCGGGGGCTCGGGGGGGCTGCCGGGGCCGGGCGGGGCGGGGACATGGGGCGCGGAGCTGGCGGCCTCTCCCTGGCCGTGCCGCCGAGCCCGGCTCTGGGGCCCCTTTGGGAGGCGCTCTCAGGCCAGCTCTACACATAGAAACTAGACCGGCGTGGCCGTGTGTTGCTCTGGGCTGTGAAAAATGAGATGCCCTGAGCGCCGTCCTGGGGTCAACCCCACCCCAGTGTAGACAGGGCTGGGTGGAGGGAAGAGTTCACCCATGGACCTCCCTACTGCCTCAGAGAGATGGATTATCGACATCCACGGAAGAGGCCTTTAGGGGGCGTAGGAAGCATCTACGCTCTGGTGCCCCGGTGGCCCAGCTGCAGCGTGGCAGTTGTGGCCCGGTAGCAGCGGAAGTGTAGACATGCCCTTAGGTGGAAGGTGCTGGGGAGGGCGGAGGATTGCCACTGTAGCCAATTTCATCTTCAGAGAAAGCGCTGATTCCCCCAAGACCTCTGTCTCCTAGCGACAAAGAGCGACTGTGATCCCGGGCTGAGGGACGTGCTCGAGACTTGTGCCAGTGGAACCTGGACACGGAACTGAAAATCCCACTGGACTTACTACCCCATCACTGCTCTCTGCTGGCACCTCGTAGTCTCTCAGTAGGGCTGCCTGGCAGGATCTGCTGTTTGTTTCTTTCCCCACCGTGTAGCAGCCAAGAGCTCAGCCAGGCTGAATCTCTGGGATGCTGCGATTCCTCGAACAAGGGCCGGTTTTCATTGGGTAATCGAATCGTATTTCAGCTTGAGTCTGAAGCGCCAAGGTAGCTGACGTGATGCTGAGTGATCAGTGTAGACTAGAACAGGTTGTTCAGTATCCTGTCATCTTGTCGTGGCTGTACGCCACGAAGAGCTAGGTTAACTAACCCCCCACCACCTGACAAGCTGCTGAACACAACTTGGCCTCCTTGTCTGTGCTGCCCACTGCCATGCTCAGCATTTTACCTAGTTTGATTGCTACAATGGTGTGTGAACCGAGTGACGCTTCCTAGTGATGACAAACCCTGAGGGAGTGTGATGGGTAGAGGAGAAGGATGTGGCCAGTGGGTCCATGGACGGCATGTATCTATTGGCCTATGAGGGGAAGCAGGTCCTTGGCTTCTACTCTTGCCCCATGCCCTGATGTAGGGACCATTCAGGAGATGTATGAGGAATCTGTTCCTGAGACCTGAAGAATGGCTCTATGTAATCTTCAAAACTTGTCTCGCTCCCCAGCAGAAGTTGGTCCACTAAAAGCTATTCCCTTACCTTTCATTGTCCGTCTCAGACCATGAGAATATGGCTGCGCAAGAGCCTGTTTACTCAGACTGTGTCCTTTGTGTAGGAATGTCACCATTATTAGGAGGTGGCCCTGGCTTCATCAGCTCCCTGTTTAATACGCTCTGCATGTTTAATAAATGGAGAGTTTACCCCTTTCCCTAGGTCATTAGTGAAGATGTCAAATAAATTGGGCAAAACACCTATGCCTCGTCCACTGCCATAAACAAGAACTCCTAACTAAATACTGTCCCTTTTATTTGCACTCTTTGTCCACGATCCTTCAGGCAGTGTTTGGTTTGATTTCCAGACAGTGATGAGATTGTGGTGTTAGAGATTACTCAGACAGCCATTGTAAAGTTGGAGGAAGGTCATTGGACTATTCCCATGAACTTGATTTCAAGATTCAAGCCAAATTCTGCTGTTCCAGCCTCCAAATACGTGAATTATTCAAGTTTGTATGTAGAACTGTGCCTGAAATTTATGATGAAATTGCAATTTCTTTTTACAATTCTGTGATTTTTATTGATTTTTTTAGCCCAGTTATCCCACAATTATTAGGATTTACCAGTATTGTGACCAACTCTCATTCTTAGAGAGTGGGACTGCACAGACAATCCCCTTACTAATTAATTTGTGCACATTAATGTGCAAAGGCTGCCTGCATGCTAGCATGCAGGGTCTGAAGATCTGCATCTTCCACTCACCGTGGAGTTGATCTTCCTCCTCCATCTGCCAATCTCCCTGAAAGTACCTGCACCAGAGGCCGTTATGGATCCACAACAAGCAGTGCGCCCATGGCCGACTGTTGGCCATCGCCCTTGACCCTAGTGCGAATTTGTAAGTATGAAAGTGCTGCCCAAACCAATCACAAGGAAAGGACCTGTGAATAGGGTTGCCACATGTCCAGTGTTCGACTGGAACACCCAGTCAAAAAGGGACCCTGGTGGCTCTGGTCAGCACTGCTGACCAGGCTGTTAAAAGTCTGGTTGGCAGCGCAGGAGGGCTGTAGGCTCCCTGCCCAGCTCCGTGGGGCTCCTGGAAGTGGCCAGCATGTTCAGCTCATTGGTGGAGAGGGGGCTATAGGGGCTTTGCGTGCTGCCCCAGCCCCGAGCGTTGGCCGGGAACCACAAGTGATGGAGGGAGGGGGAATGGTGTCTGCGGGAGTGGGGCCTAGTAGAAGGGGTGGAGCAGGTTTGAGGCCTTGGGGAAGGAGCAGGGGGTGGGGCAAGGTTGTTTGGTTTTCTGCAATTAGAAAGTTGGCAACCCTACCTGTGAATAGGAGAATGTTCGGTGCAGTACAGACAGCCACCTCCTGCCTTCCTGCTGCAGAAGCAGGAAGGGGTGGAGCTGATAGTACCAATGAAGGCTGCTCTCTTCATAACCTGCCTGACTGCAGCAAGGAGGACGAGCTGTCCCATGAGCCCTGAGCCACGGAAACGTTGCTGGCTTCAACATTTTGTGGCTGACTGACACGAGCGAACTGCCTGGCGTTAAACTGTGTCATCTTTATGTTCACATGGGTTCACTTGGGGCAGGTCTGTCGTTCTGTTCTGGGTTTGGCAGCTACCAGCCCAGTGGGACTTGGGTCTTTAATTCTAGCCCCTAGGTGTTATTGCAATACAAATAACTAATAATGCCAAGCCTTGCAGAGTGGGAAGCATTCTGCTGTCCTTGTGTTTGACACCATAAGTGTTCACAGCAAGATGCACTGACCGGTTGATAAATTGGATGTAACTTTGAATCCTAGTGGAGGCGAAGAACAAAAGGCCCCATGTGTGCAGGAGGTTGGGGTTTGGGACAAGGGCTAGTCACTTATCACAGTAGTATCTGAGCTCCTTCCAGTTGCACATTAAACCACATGACCTACATCTATCACATGTCCATTCTCTCATCCCCTGTCAGGGAGAAGGGTGTGTAGTAGTGGGCTTTAGTTTGGAGTTTTTGTATTACTAAATATATACCCGTGTGGCTAGATGTTGACGTTAGAGAAGGCAAAGTCAAAGACATTTTCCTTGTACTGTGAGCAGAAGGTGGGGACGGCTGGGATGGTCCTTAGTTCCTGGAAAAGTTAATTCCACAGCCTCGGACCAGCCCCTGAGAAAGCTCCATCTCCCGCTCAGGCAAGCTTTACCCTTATTGTAGAGAGCTCCATTGGGCCAGAGGGGTAGAGTGGTCCATGGAGGCTCTATTGGATGCTTGGGGAAGCAATAGGAGGAAGTGGAGAGGCTTCTGTCAGCCCTGCTGATTGAGGGAGCGTGTCTGTCATTTGTGAACTGAGGTCATAACTTAAGAGGCCATGTTAGAGCTTTGGCTGCTAATGGATTCCCAGGGAGCTGCTGTGCTAAGAGTGTTTCTTCCAACTATGCCTGGCAAGATGTGGGTGAGCATTTCTTTTGGATGAAGAGACCACGGCCATTATCTGTACCTTTGTGATCTCTAGATTAGGCTGCTGTAACATGCTCTTTGTGGGGCTGCCTCCTGAGGAAACGTGGAAACTGAAACTGGTGCTAAACATTGCTGCCAGATTGTTTGCAGTGGAGCTTCAGACCAAGGGGTTAGAACACTAAGCTCTGGTTCGATGCTTTACACATGCAGATTGAGGAGCTGGTTTTCAGCTCTAAAGCTCTGAGTGGTTTTGAACCCAGTTACCTGAGACTTCTTTCCTCATGTGATCATGATGGCGTTGCAATCAATAGCCAAGCTGCAGCAGGAGTTCCCTGGCTTTTGATGCGGGCAGGTGGCTGGCAGGGCATGCTCAGCAAGGGCTCCTTGACTCTGGAGATTGCTTCTCCCTTGCTGCACCAGATCCCGACTTTGTTAATCTTTCCCACATGTTGCCAAGCCCCTTCTCTTTCCCCAGGCAGCGAGAAGAAGGGGTGAGCTGAGAGCTCCTGGTCCTGAGACTTTGGGCAGGCTATTAGTTTGGGTGGCAATCTGTGTGGTTCTGTTTGTTGATTATATCTGAGAATGGGAATTGATTGTAAAGGTACAATGGACTTGAGGTGGGGCCTGTCCTTATACACTGAAAAAAAATATATGTATAGAATTTTTTTTAACAATTTTTCATAACATTTTCTTTGCCAGAAGACGCTGTTTGGGTTTCACGAGCCACCCTCTTCAAAGCCCTGGGGGCGCTCTGTGTGGCGTGCGCTGCTATTGTTGGAAGCCAGTACATGAATACTCACACCTGAGACTGGGGTCCCATCAGGCCTGCTCCCTGCCCACAGGTGGGTGTCCTTTGACTCTACACTGCCAAGTTACATTTAGCCATTAGCAAATGAATCTGTCCACAGCAACGTCCCATTAGCAAACCCATTTGTCTAACATAGTCTATATGCCAGATGGAAGCTGGTTAAGTGACTCGTGCTGTATTCTAAATAAAATATGCTTAGCAGTTCATTAGATTTTGGCATCCGTAACTAATTACATTTGTTGCATCACTCTTACGGCAGGGACTCTTACACTGCAATATGCTCATGTCACAGGAACACTACCCCAATGCAGGGCCCATTCGTGGCAATAATAGTTTATATGGTCTCTGGCCAGTGCCTTTTATCTGTGGATCTCCAAGCCCTTCACAGCATCCCTGTGGGGTGATAGAAGTAAAACTTTGTTCCAGTTGGAGAGAGGATGTCTCTCTTCCTGTTCTAAGTACCTAGGGCCTGATTCAAGCCCCTTTGAACCACCCAGCTGGCACAGAGGAGCTGAATCTGACCCTGAGGATTCCCTGGGCATAGCATAGCCAACTCAGACACCAAATACCCACAGTCTACCGTGCCCTAGAGGTGATGCCCATGGTGGAGCATGCCCATGCGATACCCAAGTAGTGTAATGTCCTATGTACCATTTATATTGCTGTAAGGGGTAGAGTCCAGTTGGGTCGGGGTCGCATTGTGCTCTTCACTGAACAAACATACAGTACGTGACAGTCCCTGCCCCAAAAACCTTACAAACCACACCTGGTCGGTGGGTCTAAGCTAGAGCAGTACACATGAATCATGAGATTCATGGAGGTGCAGTTTGCTCCCATAAGCAGTGCCAAGCGTCTCTTGCTATAAGAGAAAGTTTGTCCCTGGATTTCGAGGGTGGGAAGGTCTTAAATCCACATCGTCATTGCCCGGACACGCCAGCCCCCACCTGTGTGGCTTGTAGAAGCAGCCTTGTCATGGGTTCACTCTGCTGCCCTCCAAGAGGTGCCCCGACCTGTTTTTGCTGGAGCTGTGCTGACGTTCTCCTGGCCTCTGTACAAAGTTTGGGGCAGGGGGATTGTTTGTGCCAGATGGAAATGCTCACCCCTGCTTACCAAAGCCAAGAGAGAAATGACTCTCGGGTTGAAAGCAAGGGGGTGCAGGCTGGTACGGAGTACCGGTAAAAAGGAGCCGCCAGTATTGGCCCTACCGTTGACTTTAAAGCGCTTTAAGGGCCCTGCTTAAAGTGCTGCCGCAGCAGCTCTTTACATTCCTGCCCCTTTTGTGCCCCCCATTGGCGGCCATTACCGGCAGGGCCGCCGATGAGGGGTGCACAAGGGGCAGGGCCGCCGATAGGGGGCGCACAAGGGGCAGCGACGACCCGGCAGGGCCGCCGATAGGGGGCGCACAAGGGGCAGTGACATTAAAGCAGTGCCGTGGCAGCACTTTAATGTCGTTGCCCCTTTTGGCCCCCCTGGCAGCCCACGGGGGGGAAAGGGGGAAGGAGCAAAAGAAGTAGCTGCCCAGGGCCGCAATTTAAAAGGGCCCAAGGCTCCGGCTGCTGCTGCCACAGCCCCGGGCCCTTTAAATTGCTGCTGGAGCCCCGGGCGACGTGGGCCAGGCAGCGCAGATGGGCTGGCTGGGGGATGCTGATCCCAGCCCCGCCTCTTCCGCCCAAGGCCCCGCCCCTTCCGGGGGAGCCGGAGCTGGCCCCGTACCGGTAAGAGCTCCATTTTACTTTCCACCCTGACGACTCTTATACTCAAGCTACGCGAGGGGTTTTCCATGGCGTGGAGAGTAAACCAGTTACAATCAAAATAAAACACGTACTGAAGTGCTTTTTCCCTTCAGGCAAAACATAAGAATTAACATTAGTGACTAGGCAGCTGGCTCCTCTGTAAACGTGTGATGTGTTTTTCTTTAATGGTGTGGTCTGAATCGCTGTCACATAGGGAGTGTACAACCATATGGTTACTAATACCTGCGTGTTACTTACAGCTCACAGCCGCTGTCTCCTAACTTGATGTTTGTGTCCCACCCCCCTTCTTTTTTCTTCAGGCCTCCTCCATCTGGATCTTAACTACCATCCAAAATAAACATCATCATCATGTAATATTTGTGTGTCCATACCTTTACATTTAAAATTAAAACATGAATATGCAGCAGTCACGTTTTAGGTCTTACTCCTCGGAACAAATATTTTTGCTATCAGAAAAATGGAAATATGTTTCAGACTATTCTGATATTTCCACTATTTTTCACTTTTTAAATGTCAATTTTCAGTCCTGTGGTTTTCTCCAATTAGCACACTAGCCAATCTTGATAAATGCGATTACCGGCTTCAACATAAAACAGGGCAGATCAGCTAGACTGGTTCACTAAGTGATCATCGTATTGTCACTGTGGATCAGGACTGGGGTTACTACGAACGCATCACTGAAAGAAGTACAGCTTTATATTGTGAAGACTAGTTAGTGCAAAAATAAAGTGCAATTTATGCTCACGTGTAAACATCCAGTTGAATTTTACAGGTGAATAACAAATGAATCTTAACATTTATTAAAATTAGTCTATCACTTCTGAGATCACTTCTGAATATTATTTTAACTAATTGACCTTTTTACCTCTGTTCAGACTCCTCCGTCTGTTATTCCTTCATCAGACATCTCAACATGAGTCAACAGTGCTGGTAGCAAAAAAAGCAAACGCAGTCTTGGGTTGCATTAACAGGGGGATAGCATGCAACATAGACACTCTTTTGTTTTTGCCTGTGGGTGCTTTTGAAGAGGTGTGTGTGTGTTTTGGGGGGGGGTGCTCTGCAGTTTGGGGCAGTTTTCAGCATATTTATACACTTCTTTCATATTCTAGTGATTGAATGTGTCTGTCATTGGTACCTTTATTTTAATAATGATTAAATTGTTATGAATTACGTAATTACATTATGAATTACAGTATATTAAAATAATTGCAATCAGCTACAAGCTGTCTTCACTAACGTCCCAGTTTAAAAACATTGTCTCACTGTAGCTTTCATAGAATCATAGAATATAAGGGTTGGAAGGGACCCCAGAAGGTCATCTAGTCCAACCCCCTGCTCGAAGCAGGACCAATTCCCAGTTAAATCATCCCAGCCAGGGCTTTGTCAAGCCTGACCTTAAAAACCTCTAAGGAAGGAGATTCTACCACCTCCCTAGGTAACACATTCCAGTGTTTCACCACCCTCTTAGTGAAAAAGTTTTTCCTAATATCCAATCTAAACCTCCCCCACTGCAGCTTGAGACCATTACTCCTCGTTCTGTCATCTGCTACCATTGAGAACAGTCTAGAGCCATCCTCTTTGGAACCCCCTTTCAGGTAGTTGAAAGCAGCTATCAAATCCCCCCTCATTCTTCTCTTCTGCAGGCTAAACAATCCCAGCTCCCTCAGCCTCTCCTCATAACTCATGTGTTCCAGACCCCTAATCATTTTTGTTGCCCTTCGCTGGACTCTCTCCAATTTATCCACATCCTTCTTGTAGTGTGGGGCCCAAAACTGGACACAGTACTCCAGATGAGGCCTCACCAATGTCAAATAGAGGGGAACAATCACGTCCCTCGATCTGCTCGCTATGCCCCTACTTATACATCCCAAAATGCCATTGGCCTTCTTGGCAACAAGGGCACACTGCTGACTCATATCCAGCTTCTCGTCCACTGTCACCCCTAGGTCCTTTTCCGCAGAACTGCTGCCTAGCCATTCGGTCCCTAGTCTGTAGCTGTGCATTGGGTTCTTTCGTCCTAAGTGCAGGACCCTGCACTTATCCTTATTGAACCTCATCAGATTTCTTTTGGCCCAATCCTCCAATTTGTCTAGGTCCTTCTGTATCCTATTCCTCCCCTCCAGCGTATCTACCACTCCTCCCAGTTTAGTATCATCCGCAAATTTGCTGAGAGTGCAATCCACACCATCCTCCAGATCATTTATGAAGATATTGAACAAAACCGGCCCCAGGACTGACCCTTGGGGCACTCCACTTGATACCGGCTGCCAACTAGACATGGAGCCATTGATCACTACCCGTTGAGCCCGACAATCTAGCCAGCTTTCTACCCACCTTATAGTGCATTCTTCCAGCCCATACTTCCTTAACTTGCTGACAAGAATACTGTGGGAGACCGTGTCAAAAGCTTTGCTAAAGTCAAGAAACAATACATCCACTGCTTTCCCTTCATCCACAGAACCAGTAATCTCATCATAAAAGGCGATTAGATTAGTCAGGCATGACCTTCCCTTGGTGAATCCATGCTGGCTGTTCCTGATCACTTTCCTCTCATGCAAGTGCTTCAGGATTGATTCTTTGAGGACCTGCTCCATGATTTTTCCAGGGACTGAGGTGAGGCTGACTGGCCTGTAGTTCCCAGGATCCTCCTCCTTCCCTTTTTTAAAGATTGGCACTACATTAGCCTTTTTCCAGTCATCCGGGACTTCCCCCGTTCGCCACGAGTTTTCAAAGATAATGGCCAATGGCTCTGCAATCACAGCCGCCAATTCCTTCAGCACTCTCGGATGCAACTCGTCCGGCCCCATGGACTTGTGCACGTCCAGCTTTTCTAAATAGTCCCTAACCACCTCTATCTCCACAGAGGGCTTTCTGGATGAAGCTGTCAACAATCTTATTTACATCTAGTTCCCGGGTACGATCTACATCAGGGGTGGGCAAACTTTTTGGCCCGAAGGCCACACTGGGGTGCGAAACTGTATGGAACGCTGGGTAGAGAAGGCTGTGCCCCCCAAACAGCCTGGCCCCTGCCCCCTATTCGTCCCCTTCCACTTCCCACCCCTTGATTGTTCCCTTCAGAACCCCCGACCCATCCAACCCCCCCTGCTCCTTGTCCCCTGACCGCCCCCTCCTGGGACCCCTCTGCCCCAAACTGCCCCCCCGGAATCCCACCCCTTATCTAACCCCCCCTGCTCCCTGTACCCTGACTGCCCCAACCTATCCACACCCCCGCCCCTTGACAGGCCCCCCAGGTCTCCCATGCCCTATCCAACCCTCCCTG